TTGGCAGAAAACATTACATTTTGTGGAGGCCGTCGTCACTTGTGTTGTGTGGTCTGCACTCGACGAGCATCTGGTTTTCGGAAACAGGTATAGGTGTCCCGTTCAATAAGTGTTTCATTGAAAATCGCACGAAGTGTCGCAGAACTTTCTGGACAACCAAATAGTACGCAAAGCTGATTGAGTACAGATTTGAGATCTTTATTCTTTGGTACAAATGCTTCATATCATATCAACAAACATTGTACACTCAACAAAAAAAATTGCGTTCACCAGCTAAAAAGTGATGTACATCAGTACAGAACAAAAAGTGATTTTTTATTCACACAGATAAGAAATGGAATAGGGCATAGCCGAATAAAAGCTCTTTGTAGCAGCTTCGTAGCAGCAACGATATAAGTGAATACGTATACTTCTGAGTGAAAAGGATACAACACTGAAGAGATATCGTACAACTTGTTTATAAGCGGTACCGGTTCGGATAGCGGCCCACAGTTTCTGTCATTGGCTTCTCATTATTCTGTGATTACATATGATTCCTTTAACGAGCGGCTATCAAGTGAAAAATGGCTGGATACTCCAAAAGAAAAGTTGCGACCAAGACATCTTGCTAGCACAGCTTGAGTAAAGGTGTCCAGACCACAACTCTCATGGGGTTCCTTAGTTTGGCTCCTTTGAACATAAGGGGCATAAAAGGTGACCAGTATCGATTTACTGCTTAGAAGAAATTTTATTCACCCCAAATTGACAGTGTCTTGACCGGACCTAAAGGCACTCATCACGATAGCTGGAGGGCGGTGCGCTTTGATGACGTCGAATATCGTGATTGGTGGACTAGACAGCTCAGCGCGCTAGGGGCGCGGCTGAGACAACCCTTACTGCACTTCCACCAATGATGCTCACAGACGTTATCAAAACTGGTCAGCCATCGTGATCGCTGCCTTTAATTTAGCGGCTCGATGCAGTGTCAAATTGTATGCTAGGAATAACTGGTTAATAAGCAATACCGTAGCGTTTTTACACAACACTGAAACTGAACAGAACCTAAACATAAGTACAGAAAGGAAATTAATATACTGAAGTGAATTTCACAAGGTTTGATAAGTGATAATGCAGTTCATGGAATGCTCCCTGTTTACTGAAGGGATGGGAATTTTCTCCCCTTATAGGATGGCATGACCTTGTCTTCCTAGCCTTTCCAGCGCAACGGCTGATTACTCAAAGCAGCTTTGCTATTTGAAGGTTTCTATTGGGTTTTTTTCTCTTTCAAGCACTCCTTTGTGCATGACGTCAGCTCAGCCCTAAAAACGCAAAAATCGCTTTTGCGTTTCGAGCGGGAGCACTTCAACAGAGCCGAAGCCACCCTTCTAAACTCGGCAAACCACTTTCAAGTAACTGATTCGCCTCACAGAATTCTTGCCGACAATATAAATCTTCTTGTGCTTTTCTTCTACTTTTGGCCTTCGGTCACAGCACAAGAATAATGCCGGAAAATATTTGACTTTTACTGCGAGGTTTTCCATTTCTGAAACTTTGTCATGTCGAAACGACTTATTATAGCACCACTGATAAATATCAAATCGTAACGCTTTGAGTTTGTCTAGTTGTTAATACTAAGCTTACCGCTGTGCGATTGTATTCTCAAGGGCAGGCAGGCCTGATCCTTGCATGAAGCACTTCTGTCCTGTTGATGGTGCAATAACCTCGCGTTAGCTAAGCCGTGGATCAAAAAAAAAGTGCTTCCCAGCAACGTGGACAGTTTTCCACATAAAATGTGAAATTTGGAACTCAAACGCAGAAACCAGGTGCTACGATATTACTAACCACCAGTTCGAATTCCTATACTAAATACTATATAAATATGGTAAAAGAGAAGCCGTGGGAGACGGTGTGCCGCCGTACCGCATTTACTCAAAAATAAGATGAGGCACATCAGGTCAATAATCAGTGATTCATCAGTAAAAGAAAATAGGATGCCTACTTTTTGTCATCATATGCTCACAAGGATAAGAGAAATTGTCGGCTGCTTGTCAATACATGTTGATTAACATCGTAAAGACAACTCCTCGGAGAAAACCTAAAGGAATAAAATTGAATTTACTTGCCATCAATGCGGATTTCTGAATATCAAAACAACATAAAATTCCATATGCAGCATGAACGTTCCCAGTATTTCTAATGACTTATGTCACAATCCAGTCAAAGAAGGATTCCACGATGAACTTTGAGGTTGAAGGGGAACATACCATGCCGCAAGACAATCAGACCCCTCAGCGTCGCGGAAAGGTGCGCATTTCACAGTGAAAAATGTGGCTCCAGCGACCTAGCACGATAATACCCGGGCCGCGGTACGCCCATCCTCTCGCCGTCTTACCCTAGCCATTTAGAGAATGGTAGCGTTGAAGAAAGCAGCACCTATGAGAGCCGCATCTACGCGGAAATCGATGAGGAGAAATCCATGGTCTCATATGATTCGAATTCTAGGCCGTTTCGTAAGGGGTTTCTTTTCATTCCTGCACCACTGAGCACCTGTACTTTGATTTCTGATGGGTTGCCCTCATCGTAAACTCCGCCCTCAATTTCACGCATCCTAGTTTAGTTTCAGCGGTACGCCCCCGAAGGAACTCCACAACAAACTTCACCACTGAGATTCGTCACTCAAAGTGACTTTGGATGCAGAGTAGCAGGTCCAGTCAACGGTGAAAAATATTAAGTGGAATTAACTGCACAGGCCGTAGAGAACGGCGTTAGACACAGAGCTCTTCCAAATCAACGAGTTCATTTACAGGCTACTAATTCATAGCACAATCTTCGTCCCCCCCCCCCCCCCCCGTTAGAATTTACCTGATTTTATGAATATACATAGGCTGCAGTTAGAGTCTAGTGAATACACAGTAGAACGACACTATACCGTGAATAAAAGTTGGCAAACTCGCTCACTCATTTCCTCTGCTTGGTAGTTATGGAAATAGGTAAACCTTCATATTAGCATTCAATAGTCTGATGGGACAACACTCAACAACTGAACCACCCCCTGAGAACTTCCGCACCCTTTAAGGCTCGTTCGGGGACTAGGCAGGCTCACTTGCTTCATACCCGAGGCGTAGTATGAGCGGAAATAGAGGAGGTCCTTATGCGGATTGTAATCGGGGGTTTCTCTTGCTTTCTTTTTCTTTTCCAGACCACTCCTCACCTCAAGCTTAATTAGAGAACGCTCACACCTGTTTTATGCCGGAGCTTGCTTCAAATGAGCCTTAATCCGGCGTTACCAACCACTTTATTATATTTCTGACTTCGTTAAAAATGAAAAAAATCATTCCGAATGAAATATGGACGCAAGCACACGTGCTGCGCCACATTCAATTTTCGGAATAAATCCTAATGCTAGCCTACTGAAAATGTATTCCATTCATTTCTGTCCACTAAATTTAGCTATAAAAATGTGCCAGACTCGATCACAAATTGGCTTTGCAATTAGGGCGAATTAAGCCGGGGAAGGTAAAAAAGGTTACATCTTAACCATCATACTCAGCACGAAACCAGTCAAACTTTGCGGCCGGGAAGGATGTCTTACTTTAAATACTTAAAAGTAGCCATCTTGTACACTGCAAAAGATCACGGAGCTCCATTATAGCCTTGTACATATCAGAAAAGATTATGTGAAGCAACATAAGGCAACCTCTGAGCTCAGCGAGCTCCTCGATTTCTCTACCTTCGTATAGAGTCCTTGTCTAGGCTTGGTTCGATCGATAACTGATCGATCAAGTTAAGGTATAAAATTGATGATGCACAAGGTCGACGGCACTGTTGCAACTTGAAACTGCACGGAACGCGAACTAATGCCTTCGCTTAGTTACTGGAACCGCTGCCATTCTTATCAACCGTAATTTGTGGCGGTCTAAGTCTCCTTACGACGTGCGCGTGTCGCGGTTTTCTCTCCTTCACACGCTGTGTCTCTCATCAAACCAATATCGACCTCACAAGAAAAATTTTAGTGTTCGGCTTTTCGCTTTTTCCACTAATGTCCTTCTTCGCATTGCTTGTCAAATTTTTGAACAAAATGACACACCAATTCGATCGCAACCCTGTCATTAACAACTTCGCGAAGTTCGCTGCAGCAATCCAAAAACTGCTCGTCTGTTTACGGGTAATTATGTCCATACTCCTATCCGCTGCGGCAAACTAAGGTTCATATTTCAGAGGCGTTGAACGCCTCGGTTTTTGATACAATAATATCTGCCGGAGGGATATTTAATATTAAAGCCTGGGCACACTTATTTAACGTGTCATACTGAGTGCGTCTATAGTAGTGTAGATTCATATTCAAATCTTTGAGTATTTCATATGAAAGTTTTGCAAAGAATTCACGTACTTTTTTGAGGACCTGACTTGATCACGTAACATTATTGCCGGAATAATTTAGAGGGGGTAAAGTCGTATTGAAATAACGCCTCGTAACTAATATGACGACAACAATGGACCCGAAATTGACCGCTTATTTGTACATGGACTGCAACGGACTCTGAGCAGCTATTTTCAAAATATGGGGAAAACGCAGGTGGGAGCGAAAGCACTAAAAATCTTTGGTTCTTTAATAATAGACATGAAAAAGAGCCACTTAAGCAAAACGGAAACAGTGTTGCTAGAAATTAGGTACTGAAAAATGCCCTTCCCGCACTTCGCCGGCGGTGAAGAGGGCTGTCTGCGAGGTTTCGAATCATCAAACAATGACTTTTTGAAATTTGGGGTTCAGATTTTCACCTGCAAGGATATATCATATAAAGACAATTAACACGATTGCTGGAGAGTGGAGAGGTTTTTATGACGTCATTGGAATTCATTGGTCGGACCAGACCCGCAACGCTTTGGTTAGAGCCACCTCCCAACGCCCTTCCACCAATCGCGCTCAATGACGTCACGAAAATAGCTCCCCCCCTCAGCCATCGTGTTCACTGCCTTTAAGCACTACGAACAAGTTAAGCCTGAACCATACCTCAATATGACTAGCGATTGATAAGTTGATGGATTTGGTGAAGAGTAGCTTCAAATTGTGGAAGTATATGTGATTCCGCAAGCTCAGGATTAACCGAACTTGTAGCACAGGATCTAAGCTGCCGCATAAACAGTTCAATGCGATTCAGCAGCTCACTAAAAATGTATTTACTGCAACAGTAAAATTACCGCACATTTTCCGCAACTAACCGATATCTGAATTTGCTGTGCGGTGTGACTTGTTCTGCATAAACAGCGCAGATATTATGAAACTGCTGCATCGCATCACTGAGCTGTATCAGATTCACATGCTGAGAATTAGTTCGAGAAGTCTTTGTTATGCGGCCCGCTCTTTCACTACGCAGCTTCTGCAGGTGGTCTTCTAAATTGCGATAAAGCGCCAGCAGAGATTCCTGAAAGGAAAGCTTCAGTATGGAACATAGGCGAAAAGAGTTGGCACTATAAAGGAGGTATTCACCTTACTAACGTTTTGCTGCTCACATATGGAGGCATGTGTTGCAGCGTTTTGATCGGGGTTGCCACTGTTTCCAGATAGGACAGCCGCCGAGGAACTTAATTTCGACTCAAACAAGGACAATCGTTCCGTAACGGAATTGGATGGTATTTGAGGACGATCCGTCACATCTGCTGAAAATGTCATTACATAAGACATGTAAGACCTCCTGCATGAGAACATTGAACACTGTAAGTCTTCTTCAGGAAATTAGCAGTGAAGGCTCATTCACATACCTTTATTGGCAAGCTTTCGCTGTAATAACAGCTTCTTCAGGCCTTAAAATTACAAATCAAGTACATGACAACATCGTATTGTAATTCTTAGAAGCATTAGCTCATAAAAGTACTAACCAGCCTGGCAGCAATGACCGTTAAATTAGACAATAGAGTGTATTTAGAAGTGATAAATGTTACCAGACTGGTCAGTACTCGTGAACTAATGCTAATGCTTTTAAGGATTGCTGTACGATGTATGTTGTGTATTTTTGTAATTTTAAGGCCTGAAGAAGCTGTTATACAGCGAAAGCTTGCCAATAAAGTGTATGAATGAGCCTTCACTGCTGATTTCTTGAAGAAGATCTTACACAAATGAGGCTCAGGGATAGCTCGATTTTGTCATGACTGGACATTGTGTCATGTTCTCCAACAAGCAGTTCGTTTTTATTTTCGTTTTTTTTTGCATTTTTTCCCTAAGCAGAGTCAACCCTGCGTTGCGCAGTTCTCAACGGCCACGTTGCGCAGTTTCGCCCGATTAGACACGTTCTCTCGCGCGAACATTCACACTCGCATGCTCGAGCCGTCTGTGTCTCCGCCCATACAGCGTGCGTTGAGGATCTCTCAACGTGCCGTTGCGAACTGCGCAACGCAGGGTTGACTCTGCCCTAAGATCCTTTGCCTCCACGAAACTTATACATCATCCGGAACAGAATTACCCGTTCTACAAAATGAATCGTGTCTCTTATAAAATAATCGGAAACTCACCGAATTACAAGTTACACTAGGAGGTACAGTAGACGAGAAGTATCCAAACCGACAGATAACCAAACTTGATATTTCTCCGAAAGAAATCGGGTAGTAATGTATGCTTCGCTTAGCAATGAGCTCTTCTTAACTTCCCACTACTGACTGCTAATAACATGTCATGTCGTTCCTTCTTGAAAGTCCTTTTTTTCCATTTGACGGCTACACAGCGGTACCTTTTTAAACAACAGCTGAAGTCTCTAGCTTCATATACATTTATATGCCATTGGAAAGCGCTTTTTCTGCTCTCTTCGCGATCATGTTTCGCTTTTCCTTTCATTATAATTCTTGTATAACTTCAAGCTTGTGTAATAAGGTACGCAATCAATGAAAATAGCGACATCACTTCAAAGTCAATCGGTTTCCCAAAAAATGACAAAAATCAATTAGGATGTGCCCTGCATTCAGCAACAACTGATTCTTAGCATTTCATCAATTTTACGATGTTTCGGCGATAAAAATTTTAGGGTCCATATTCGACGAGATAACGGTCAGCCATCGAGTTCTGACTAGATAACCAAATTTAGAAAAAGCAGGACACGGTTGGCTGAACAGTGCCACAGTGAAATGTTAACTAGAGGTTGTGACTAAGTAAATGGTTCATCCTTGAATTAATTCTTCCAGAGAAACATAGTTTGAATTAGTTGCCGGTTTGGCTGTTTATCGCCCACTAGATCCCATTTTGCAAGCTTTTAAACCAGTGAGTTCATAATGACTGCATAAATGAGCAAATCTGTAGAGCTACAATAATCTTGGGAACATTATATTACATTATGTAGAAACTTCGGAAGTTAGGAAAACTTCCATTCGAAAAAAAACGTCACTACTTATCAAACAACCAATTAATACATATTAATATTCTTGATGTTATTCTAAATTTACTAGACTAGAGCCCAGATAGAACGGCGATCAAAACGAATTATCGTACTTGTCAATGCTGTAAACAGTAAACAAGGACAATTCCCGGTGTTAACTTAGTTGGGGGGACCACGCGGCGCGCGTGAACTTATTGGATATCTATCGCAGCGCCCGCCTCGCTCGTGGCGCTTTCCATCGAGCGAACATATAGTGCGGAACCCAGGTCCAACCCTACGCTTGACACGCCGAGTAACAAACGGGGGGAGGGGTCCCTACCTGACGTTGAGTTTGGTGAAAGGAGGCGGTCTACCCACTTTAGCCGACCTTGAAATCCCCCCCCCCCCCCCTTAGAAATATGATAGGAGTGGGAGTATAGGTAGAAAATGGCCGTTAGGAAAATGGTGGGGAAAGAGAAGAAGTTTCGCGAATATTATTAGAGTTTTGAGTTTAGTGGGTGGTTGAGTGGTACCAGAATTAAATGCTATAGAGGAGGAATATGGTGGTGGTAGTAGTATAGGGTCGAAAAGGGGGTCGTACCAAGTCCGCCTTGGGGGAGGGGGGTCGTAAAATTTTTTGAAAAAGTAACAACGATTAGACAGACCCTGGTGTGAACTCGAACATTCCAGCTTTTCACGCATGTCAAGTGACTGCCCTCACCCCCCACCCCCTAGACTGCCTACACTCCCCCTGGCTCACGGATTTCCCGAAGTACGCAAAGATGCCAGGCGAGCAAAGCGCCGCGCCGCCGCGTGGTCCCCCCCCCCAACTAAGTTAGCACCCAATTCCCTTCACAACATTTTGAAATTTCGAACTCATTTGTCTAAGTAATAGCTAAGTTAGACGTACATTTTAAGGGAGAAGCAGCGAGTTTCTCAAATTTCGTAGTGATGTCCCTCAACGACTGGGTTCGAGCCATCCGCGCGTGAAGTTCTTCGTTAGCCGACGGAATATGATCATCCGATATTTCTCTGAGCTGAAATGAGAACAAGGTAATGAAAGAAATCTTGGCTGACGACAACAGCACGGGATTTCTGCCGTGTGCAGTATAAAACTTGCGAAAAATATTGGCACAAAAAACAGGGGAAAGTAAAAAAGGATATCGAAATCAAGAGAGGACGCGGTACAGATATTGTCTAACAAACTGCCAGCAAAGCGATGAGTTGAGGCTCGAGCTCCGTAGAAGTTTAAAGGAGTCTAATCCAGTGAGGGGGAAGAGAGTCTGGTGCGATAGTTGCTGCCGCTTACGAAAATTCGAATTTCTGCAGGAGCAGAAAATCCCAATGGTGCGCAGGCCAATTAATATTCGCTGTTATCCATACTGGAGCTTCCTTCGCAAGAAACTGAATCACCTTAGGCGATATGAACTGCCTCGCAGCTTTGCCCCCTCCCCCTTACTGATTGAGACCCACGCAGAATTCACCACTCACTGCACTATATTGTACTCCCATACCGAATTATTGGAGGACAGTCGACACAATCTTCAGCTCACGAGCTCACAAGCTCACGTCGCTTAGAGCGCGCGCGGCGAGTGGTGCGACAAACGGCGCGGCGTTGAGCGGGTTCACTGCATCCAGGCATCCACAAATCGCAGTTGTATTTGAGGGATCCAAACTATTAAGCAACCAATTCATTAATAATTATAGTGTAAAGATTACTGCAGTGACTGCAAGATGCTTTAGAGTGGTGAACTGAAATAGGTACAAGTTTTTTTGTGAGATATTCAGAGCGTTCATAATTATAAGGCCACCCTCGAATTTGCCAATTCTACAACAAGCAAACAGTTGAGAATTTTTTGAGCACCGCTAACGAGTTCCCCTTCCCAGAGATGATCCCTATGCCCCATTCTTGGCCTATATTTTTTATCATTATTTTTTTTGGTTTTTACACCGTCAATAATGAGGTTACCATGAGAAAGAGAACAGCTTGTTAAAATTAATGGCAGATGTAAACGAACAACCTATTGCTATTTCCCTTTCGAGTGCAACATCTAATAGCCTCTGTGGCATACTGAATTCTAGATTTCGAGGTAATCCCCCACCAATTTGCCCCGTGTCTCGGGGGTTTCCATA